CACCCCTACGAGCTCTTGACGTTGACGGCACCCCCAAGTCCTCTAGCCAGCTGCTGCACGATGCTCAGTCCTAACCCCATGCCGGCGGCGTGGGTGTTTTCCTGTGAGAAAGGCGTGAAGAGCTGATACTTGAGGTAATCGGAACTGATGCCGAGGCCAGTGTCTTCGACGGAAAAGGCGATGTAATCGCGCAGTCTGCCGTGGCTGTCTGGCTTTCGCGTCTTCCGAAGGCTCACCTCAATGTGGCCAGCAGGTGTATATTTCATGGCGTTTCCGAAGACGTTCATGATGATACGTTTCCAGACCCCGACATCGGTACGCATCTTCCAGGCGGTCTTGTCTTGAATGTTCAGTGAGACGAGCACTGGGCGCGCTCGAGAGCTCTCCTCCGCCTTGGGACCATCGACAGAATGTTCGTCCCTCGAGTTAGCTGATGGACCAAAGGCATTCTCATATCCATGGCTAACGTGGACGGCCTCAACAACATCCTCGACCGTTTCCCCGAGGTCGGCGATTCGCAGCTCGGCCGCAGGGGTTTGGGGGTTCTTGCCGGCGTTGATGGCGATGGCGTGGTTAAGCAGGTGGTTGAAGGTGTCCAGCAGCGTGTTGCCGCAGGAATCGAGCATGTCCAGGGCCGGCTTGAGCGAAAGGTCCGAGATGCCTTCACGGAGCAGTTCGCTGCTGGCCAAGACGCCGTGTAAGGGACTCCGCAGTTCATGACTGATGGATGAGACAAAATTGGACTTGGCGCGGCTCGCAGCCAGGGCCTCCCAGCGTGACACCTCCGCCATGACGGAGTTGCCAAAGGCAGACACGAGACTGATGTCGGCAACCTCTATGGCGCGCGTCGGATCTGCAACCCAGCCGAGTGCGGCGGTGTACCAGCACTCGCGCTGAAAGTGCCACAGCGGGAGGAAGATGATGTACTTTGCCGCAGGAAGAGCGCTGAAGAGCCTGGACACATCGTCTGTGAGGCCAATGCTGTCTGCGCTCGCCCTGCGGCCGGATGGGCACGGCTTGCCAGGTCCATAGTGCTCGTCAATGGGTCCGAACTCGTCTGCCGAGAAGACATGGCCACGTGGATGTCTCCTGATGAGCCTCTGGAGGGTCGCCTCTGGAATGCCAGGTGGAGGCGGCTGCAGCGATTTGTCTTCTCGCTGATCAACGGTCGCCTGAGCCACGACAGCGCAATATGGCCCTTCCGCCTCACTTTGAGGCCCGTGGTCGTTGCTGTTGCGATCGCAACCCAAAGGGTCTGAGGTGTCTACGTACACGCTAGGGGCGGCATCCAGAAACATGAAGCCGTCCATGTTCATAGCCTGTCGCATCATGGACGCAGCGCGAAAAAACGTGGAACGCAAGTTCGCGGAGCCGCTGAAGCCGACGTCGCGCGATCCAAGCACGTCACTGACCGAGGAGGGCAGATGTTGACCTGGAGGGTTTCTGTCCTTCGCATTGTGGAACTTTTGGTCGAGCAGGGTCTCGCCTGCGCCGTCCGGCGGTGGAGCCGTCAACGGTATACCCGACGAGGGCACCGAGGACAGGAATGATGCGTCGGGGGTCGCGAACGAGGACGCCGGTGATGCTGAAGACAAATTCATTGCGGAGAACGTGTCCGTCTGATCGGTCTCCACCGAGTCGAAGGAAGGGTGTTTTGACTGTGGCGAGAGCTTAGGGGGGTGCGGTGCCGGGTCAGGTTTGCAGCCGACAAAGGCACTCAGGCTGCCGATGAGCTGCTCGGCGCGGTGGCGCATCTGTTCCGTCTTTTTCAACTCGAGATACGACATGATGGCCGAGGCGATCTCGTTCATGATGGCAATGGTGGGCTCGTCGTTGAAGTGGCGAGGCTTGTTGTCGACGACGCAGTAGCTGCCGAGCAGGTAGCCCAGGGGCGACACGAGGGGCACCTCGAGATAGGACACCATGTATGGGTAACCACAGACATAGGGTCTCTCGACGAAATGGGGATCAACTCGAAAATCGTTGACGATGAACCGCGTCCTGTTGGCAATGATGTTGGGGCCCGTCTGCGCCCACTCGCCCGTCTCGTCCATAAAGGCGAGCATGGCCGTCGGACAGACGCCCCAGCGGGTCTCCAGCTTGGAGACGCCGAGAAATATGTGGTCATTTTCGGCAGATTGATTCTTGATGATAGAGTGCGACCTCGTCATTTCAGCGGCGAGGAAGTGGTTTTCGCGGTCGATGAGGGAGAGGAAGGATCTGTCACAGTCGAGCCGGGATGTGCCCGACTGGACAAGGGCGTTGAGAGCAGGGTCTGCATTGATGAACGGGGTTTCTGGGGGACCGGTCGGTACGCCTGCCGGATAGGAAGCCGCCGAGAGATACCTGGAAGAGGAGAGGAGTGTTAGCACAAATGGAAAAAAAAAATGGCAGCGGTGCGAGCAGCAACTCGGGGATTCAGACTTACGCTGCGATTTCCCGCTGGCGTGCCCGCTCTGCGTTCTCGACGGGAAGGGAGGTGTCGTCGTCGAGCGCCATGGTCATGGCGGACCTTGGGGGGGGGCTATCGCGACACTGGACACTGGACACTGGATCGTGCCAGCGCGAGCGATGGTGGCCGCGGTTGTCTTTTCTTGGTGGTTTGGGGTGGTGTCTGTAACATTTGGCAGCCAACAACTTCCCTCGGATGATCACTACCAAGGCAGGACGCTGTGCCACTGTGCCGCTGTGCCGCTGTCTGCAGGCGACTGGAACGTGGCGCGGGGAACCCGGGCACGTGGGCCTGAACCAGACCCTGGGCCTCAACAGAGCCTGGGCCTGGGCCCTCCTAGCGGTTGTCTGCGCTGGCTGCTGGGCTTAGGCGCCCTGGAGGACGAGCGGGTCGCTGTGAAGTGGCTGATGACGAATGAGTTCCAAGGTCGGCCCCCGCACCCTGAGGAAATGAAGATTTAAGGGGATCTCAAGGGTACCTGCCTTGCTGCTGACTAATGATTAGCACAACGATCACGAATCCAGGAGATGCAATATCATTTGTCTGTCTGGAATTCCTTCCTTTATCATGGACTGGCTTCCATAAATCCATCTCTGAGCAAAGAACCGCACGAACGCAGATACAACTGCATCGTCTCTTATCTTACGATCATTCCCAAACTGACAGAAACGATGCTGGAATCACGATCATCCTACCTGCCGACCATACCCTTCCCTCCCTAGGCATTCTGGTCGACACGAATCAAGCAAGAGCCCATGCCAGTCACGTTGGTCCACTGCGCGTGCGGCTCTCTGATGTTGTCGAGGTCCCAGATCTTCTTGATTGGCACCTCGAACTTGCCCTCGGCCAGCAGTGCAGACGGCCTGCAGATCCGGCATGTACGTGTCGCGGTGCGTCGATGTAGTAGAACTCCGCGCTGCGCTTCGTCCACAGACACTCGTTCTTGGCCAGAGCTGAGCGTCCTCGCAGCTGCGACTCGCTGCGCTGCCGGCCTGGCACGCGTGAGTTGCAACGATCGACGAGCGCTGGGCTCGTCGCGCACGAGAAATCTCCCCACGACTTCGTCATAGCTCTCGAAGCCGAGCGCGTCGTACACCGACGTGTGCAACCGCCGCGCCGCCCGCCATCTCGCCCATCCACGCCTTGTTCGTGTACACGAATGGCGTGGACACCCCAGGGCCCCGCCAGCGCCTCGTGGTTTGCGTAAGCGACGCCGTCCCCGTAAGACTTCGGCCCCCCTCCGAGCAGGCAGAGCGTCATGGTGGCATAACCCACGGCGCCGCTGAGGCCGTGGATGAAGATGCGCTTGCCCTGGCCCACGATCGTCGTCGCCCGATGCACGAGGCCGTACGCCGTGTTCCAGTCGAGCACAGCGGCGAGCGCCGAGCGCGTGTCGACGCCGGGGGGCACGGCGACGAGATATTTTTCCTCGACGTTGATCTTGTCGGCCTCCGAGTCGTACACTGTCACAGCGCCTACGAGGTCGCCTGGCCGGAACCTGTTCGACTTTCGACCGTTGACGGCGACGCGGCCAACGAAGCAGTATCCTGGGTACAGGGGCGCCGTCTTCTGCTGCGGGTACACGCCCAGACGCATGTTGATGTCGGCACCGGAGAAGCCCGAGTAGATGACATCGACCTGCACCTCGTTCTTCCCGGGCGCGTCGATCGTCTCAGTGACGATCTTGACATTGGAGGCATCTCCAAACCCCGAGATGAGTGCCCTGCGAATGGTAGTCATGTTTCGTCTTGTGTGACTGTGTGTGTCGTTATGGATGAACGATGTTATTCGACTGTGCGAGCCGTATTGGTGGTTGTCTGATAACGTTTCTTCAGTGAGGCAAATCGTTGCGATGATTGGGAATTGTCTGAAAAGCTATCGCATTGAGCAGAGGGAGACTGAACAGACACCTTGGCATTGACTTATATACTTCTTCCTCCTCTATTCAAAAGCATGGCAAGCTCTCACACCATATGCAGCCACAAATCGGCAGGATCGCAATACGCGAGGTTCGGACGCTGCGTTGCGCCGTTGCGAATTCATTTCGAGCACAGCACCGTCTACCACGACGTGTAACCACGAATAGGCAGCTTCGCGACTCGCGGTTCGGAACCTGCGATACGGTGAGCTGTTATCGCCAACTCTGCAGATCAGTCGTGGGCTCTGCCACATTCGAAACCCGGCTTTGCACGTCCACTCCTCTGGTGCCTCGGGGTCTACGGAGCGCCGTACTCGGTTATCTGCTCATCATGTTCGCGCCCAATCTCGTGCCTGGGAACCCCGCGAGAAACGCGCGAGACAGAGGCGAGAAGTGTCGATCGCTGGCGCTTCGTCAGCTTTGACGAGGCACTGCCTCATCTTGACCACCCCGGCTGGTGTCTCAAGTGCAGTGTACGCGGAATCAAACAGCCACGGCTTGCTGCTGACGCGCGGGTGTATGTATAGACGTCGAGTCTGTGTTTGGATGGGTAGCCAGGATTACCTTCAATTTGGCCTCGTTCTTGGTCATCGCACGGCGGTTTTGCCTGTTCAGGCGACAGATGCTTTGGGCTGGATTTTGCAGCAAGTTCTGCTGTCGTGTTGCAATAGGCTGAGATCTCTGACGTATCGGCATGATGTGTAGGGCATGGGACAGCCGCCGATACAGGACACCTTCAGAGTCAACCCGTCAACACAAGTGCGGCGCGAAGCAGCATGCGCGCGGTTGTGATTACGAGTATGCTCGCGACCCTTGGTCCCTGACAACAGCAGCAGCACACTAGAGAATGTCAGTCAGGTCGAGCGACCAAGCTTCACTGCGTAACACCCTGGGTTGCAAAATTGAATCCATCAGAAATGCACCATGGGGGTGAGGAGGGCCCGAGGGATCAACGCGAATTCAACTCCAGCGCAGAGAAACGAGCGGGGAGAATTCCGAAGTCACGATACCAAGCCCGGAAAGCGGAAAAGGTCGGGGACGCTGAGACAGGCCAGGAACCGTGTCATCTGTCGATACCGGCTACGCACAAACGGCATGTTCTGACGATGCCACTTTTGTCGCGGGTGCGCATGCAGCACGCAGCACGCAGCCCAGAGAGCGATCCGATCCTCCACCCACCGGACCGGTTCAGACCACGGACGGCAGACGGGGGGTGGAAATTCAGAAGGCCCTGGGTGAGCGGGACACTATCTAGCCGGTCAAATCTCATCTCCATGGCCCGTTGCCCGCCCGTCTGCGGTCTGTGGGAGCTAACAGGCTAGTTGGCTATCTGAGGTGGTCTCAGCTTGACCGACGGCGCTCTGCGTCAGCTGGTAGGTAAAACGTGCCCGGTCGGGAGATGGCGGGGGCTGAACAGATAAGTCATAGTGGGCGCACCCCAGGTTTGTCCTGTCCTTCGTGGTTTTGGTCGCTGAGGAACATGCTGGCGGGCGGGCGCGTGGCCATACGGGACATGACTCGGTACTCACAGTGGCCGCCGCCAGGTCAGCCCGCCCAGCTAGAACAGGGAGGGCGATTGATAGGAGGGATTGGAACCGGGGTCTCCGAAGAGGTGGCCTGGCTCCCAGGAAGATATGCATGCCAGACCTGTCATCGACCGGCATCTAGGGGTGCGGGCCATCCGCACATGGCGGTCGGTCAATCAGCGTCGAACGATGGATCTTGCCCTTGAGTTACATTGATGCGCTACGCTGGCCTGGGGACACGAGTCGTCGCTGAAGCGAGGGTTCCTCACATTACCACCAAGTTCGTCACAGTCTCCATTCAAGGGCCCCCTAGCTCTCCATCCAATGCGCTTGGCTGGTCAACTGGAGCCCCCGAGAAGCCAGAAGGGGACTCGCCAGGCCCATCTCCCCGCGCGGGGTTCGGCAGGTTTGTCAAGCTTTCGCTCGCCATTGATGGGGAACCTTGTCGTGTTTCTGGTCACGTTTGGAAGAGCTCTGGAAGACTGAGTGCCAGCTCCAGCGGCCCGTCGTCTTGAAGGTGGCGTTGAGGTTATCGAGTTGTGATCGACCTCTCGGAAGATTGACAGGCTGGCACACCAGGGAAGAGATGGCACAGATTACAGGTAGAGTGACCTCATATGATCTACACGGCAGTCCAGCAGCAGGCCACTGATATGAGCGTGATTAATCGGCTGCAGTCACATACCCAGGGGGACGATAGATAGCAAGCACGTTACCCCAAAGAACCGCGGACACACAGACACATTGGGTCAGTCTTATCTCTCGTCTGACGAAACCACCATACCAAAAGAAGGGCCCAGCGGCCGTGCCGCGACTCAAGACAGGGCGAGATCCCAGTCCTCCCCCCTATGCCCGTATGTCCCACCAAACTGCACCGGCCCGGCCTCGATACACACCGGACCGGCACTTAGGCTCGCGCTTGTGTGGTTCTCGACCCTTGCCGATGCCAATCCGCTAGCCACTCTGTGTCTGGCGTGGCAGTCTACCCCAGTTTTGAGCCTCTCTATTGTAACCCCAAGTCTCTCACAATAGGGCCCCAAGCTTGTATCAACTACCATCTCCGGTCCCCACCACTGGCATCATGGCAGGGAGTACTAATAACTCGAGATCGCCACGTTTTCTGAGGGCTCTCTCCCCTCTCCCCTATCCTCTCCCAGCTACCATTGATCCACGTCTCATCGCCGAGGCATAGCTGAGTCGACCACCCCATCCAGACTTATACTCGCCAAACCCTGTCCCTTTATTGTCATCGCTCAGCCCTCGGACTCCCACGTCAACGAGCGAATCATGAAGACTGAAGACGGCATCAACGCCGTGGAGAGCCGTGTTGACGGCTCTCAGGCGGACGTCGACCTCAAGCATGACGGCTCCGACGGCATGACAGCCAAGTACGGCGAGACACATCGCGGCCTCAAACCCCGGCACGTCCACCTCATGGCCATCGGTGGCTCCATCGGCGTCGGTCTTTGGGTCGGCATTGGCAGCGTCCTCAGCAAGGCCGGCCCCCTTTCACTGATCCTCGGCTACGCCTTCTGGGGTTGCTTCTTCATCTGGCCTCTCTACCTCTGCGTCGCCGAAATGTGCGCCTACCTGCCTGTCCGCGGGTCCATCTTCACTCTCGCCGCCCGTTTCGTTGACCCAGCCGTTGGCTTCGCCATGGGATGGACGTATTTTTTCGCCAGTACCATGCTCGTGTGCGTAGAGTACAGCGCCGTCGCCACCGTCATGCAGTACTGGGACCGCGACACGAATCCGGCCGCCTGGATCGCCATGGCCATGGTCGTCTGCTTCCTCCTCAACGTCGTCGCTGTGCGCTGGTTCGGCGAGTCCGAGTTCATCATGGCCTCGACCAAGGTCCTGCTGCTGCTCGGTCTCGTCCTCATCACGCTCATCACCATGTCTGGCGGCAACCCCCAGGGTGACGCCTACGGCTTCCGCAACTGGGGCGCCGGTGCCATGCACTCGTACTACGCCGAGGGCGGTACCGGCCGTCTGCTCGGCTGGTGGTCCGTCGTCATCTACGCCGGTTTCACCATTGCCGGCCCCGACATGATCGCCCTCGCGGCCGGAGAGATCCAGAACCCGCGCCGCACCATTCCCCGCGTCGCCCAGCTCATCTTTTACCGCATCGTTGGTTTCTACGTCGTCGGTGTCCTGGCTGTTGGTATCATCTGCTCCTCGCGCGACCCTCGCCTGGTCGGTGCCATCAAGAACGGCGAGCCCGGCGCTGCCGCCAGTCCTTGGGTCATTGGTATCGAGAACCTCGGCATCGGCTTCCTGCCACACCTGATCAACGCCCTGATCATGCTTTCCGGATGGTGAGTGAAGCCGGCACAAGAAACGGCCAGCCTCAAGTCGGCGGTGCTAACCAGCGTTCAGGTCTTGCGGTAACGCCTACCTCTACTCTTCCTCCCGCACCCTCTACGGTCTCGCTCGCTGTACGTTTTCCTCCGTTCCTGACCCTCTCGGTTTCCTCTCCGGAACGCCACAAAACTGACAAAGTTTTCCTCTTTCACAGCCGGCCAAGCCCCCGCCATCCTCCTCAAGTGCACCAAAGCAGGCGTGCCCATCTACTGCGTCCTCGTCGTCTCGGCCATCACGTGCATCACCTTCCTCGTGTCGTCCAACTCGGCCGTCGAGGTCTTCTTCTGGTTCGTCGACCTCACGACGACGGCCCTCATCGCCACGTACACCTTCATGCTCATCACGTACCTCGGCTTCTACCGCGCCCGCAAGGCCCAGGGCCTCGCGGACCAGTACCTCCCCTACGTCGCGCCCCTGACGCCCTACGCGCCCGTCGTGTCGCTCATCTGCGGCTGCACGGCGCTCGTCTTTGTCGGCTTCGACGTCTTCTCGCCCTTTAGCATCCGCGGCTTCATCACGTCCTACTTTGCCCTGCTGTGGGCGGCCGTCATGTTCGGCGTCGGCCGCTTCCTCGTGTGGAAGCGCGGCGGCAAGATGGGCTTCATCGCGGCCAAGGACGCCGACCTCATCAGCGGCAAGGACGAGATTGACGAGGAGTGCCGCCACTGGGAGGAGGGCGGTATCGAGGAGGTCGAGAAGGCCAGGCTGGCCAAGATGAGCGTTGGCAGGCGGACTTGGGAGAAGATGTGGTAGAGCGTTTTTGGGTTTATTTTGATTTTGGGAGAGCGTGGGTCCGTAGAGGTTAGACCAACATGATCTGGCTTGTAGAGTGTGAACAATGACGAATCAGTAGTACAGCCCGTTTATGCTGGAGACTGAAGAACAAAAAAAGGACATGGTTGCACATTGAATTCTTGGTGGTAGTACAAAAGCGTGACAGTCACCATGGCATTGTCGCGGTTAGTCTCCCAGGTATCAAATATGATGTACAATAAATCTTGACTCCAGATATCGAGGATCATCGTCAGCTGCACCATAAATAGACCTCATAATCTCATCCCAGAAACGCCACCGAACACAAACAACACATGGCATGACCCAGACATGAGAACCCAATCATTAGGCACCCCAGCCGTTCGACCTCGACCCTGCCGGCCCCATGTTCTCCAAATCCAGACCGTACCCGTACCCGAGCACGGCCGACAGCCCCTCCAGCATCGGCACCGACCCAAGTGCTCGTCCATGCCGAACATGGGCCCCGCCCCAGGAGGCATCATCATGGGCCCCGGGGCCTTGACATCATCCCCCCAGTCCGTGCCATCGCCCCCCATCGGCGACACATCCATGGGCGCGGCGCCGGGATCGAATCCCGATGGCCCAGCCGCCGCCGCACCGGGCTCCATGCGCCCCGACGCTGCCGCAGCGGCGTCCGTCTGCCAGAGCATCTCCCACCTCTTGAACATTTCATAGTCCGTCTCGCGCCAGCCAGCGCCGCCGCCGCGCGGGAATCGCCCGTCAGCTTCGTCTCCTCGGCACCGAGGCGCGGCGATTGGCGTGGCTCAAGGCTCAATGAGCTGGCCGTCGAAGCGCGGCCGACGCGCCCCACGTCGACATGTCCTTGAGCATGGACATGCCGTCGCCAAGCGCGGCGCGCAGCGCTCGGTGCGGTTGGCGCCGCGGTGCTCGAGGCATTGTGTCAGCAGCACGAGCAGGCCGACGCGCAGCGCACTAAACTCGGTGTACGAGGCGCGCGCGAGGCCGATGGTGCCGCGCAGCAGGCGGCACGTGTCGACTATGTCGAGTGCGGCGTCGACGCAGTCGGCCACGAGCGCGGCGCGGCGCTGCGCATTGCGCGACGGCCCGCTGTTGCGGTGCGCTGCCGATCCGGAGCCTGCTGTGCCGGGGGCGTCTGTCGCTGTGGAGGAGCCGGGGCTTGCGTTGACGGCGAGAGGCCCGCGCGGCGTGATGAAGAGGCGGCCGGCGTACATGCGCACGTGGCAGTACTCAAGGCGCAGGTGGATGGCGGCGCGCGATACGGGGGCCGTCGGGTCGCGGTCGGCGTCTTTGCAGAAGGGCCCCGAGGGTAGAGAGCGCCACCAGGTTTGCAGTTCATCCTTAATGTCGACGAGGCGGGCGAGGGCTGTGAAGATGGCTTGCTTGTCATAAGTTTTAAAGGTAGAACTGCGAGCCGTCAGTCTCGTTCATTGCCGCTGAGGGACAAGTCACATACATCTCATGGGCTATCCTCGCGAGCTCACGGTTGAGGTGCAGCGTCGCGAGGAGGTAAATGGTGTTCTGGGGGCCAGGGCCCGGCCAAATTTCAGGGCGGTCGACGGGAAGTTCTGCATCGATATCGCTCATGGCGATGGAGATGGGCCGGCCATGGAAGGTGCCGATGCGCCTAGAAGTACTCTGTTAGCCGTACTGCATTCCCAGGTCATGGTCGTAAAAGTACATATGGAGGTTGGGCACATTACTTTTCAATGGTGCAGGCCGTCCACCAAACCCTGTTCCGCGTCTCGCGAACGACCTGGTCGAGGCCGTTGTTCGGGTGTTTCCTGTGCATGCCGTTTTGGATTGCCAGCTTGACTGCTAGATTGAAGTAGGTATACGAAAGACCTGAAGGGTCTAGGGGCAGGGTATAGAGACCGATGAGCAAGATTGCCTGGACGCTCTCAAGCGACGCAATGGTGATGACATCAGGTACAAGGCGACAGGCCTGCTGGTACATCTTGACGCCGACCGAGTCTTCCGAAAAGGGGCTCGGGTCGTCAGTCTTGTCGTGGGGCGAATCGAGGTAGGCGTATTGGGTGCCAATGGCGAAGACGGTGAACATGATACAGACAGTGGGCACGTCGCGGCGGGTGAGTGACGTGGGGTTCTCGTATACGGCGTCGAGGCGTTTGGCGAGCCATGTCCGGTCGACGTAGAAGTAGTTCGTCTCGGCGTAGGTGAAAAACGCGCGCACGAGAAAATCGACAATGTAGCGCGGCGGCAGCGCCGACAGGAGGACGGCTGTGTCGGACGACGACTGGAGCTCTTCTGCTCGGTAAAACTCCTTGATCTTGGGAGCATCGGGGGCGTCCTGATTCGAGTCTGTCAGATTCAACGAGAGACATATGATAGGAGGCCAAGCACAGGGTGGTGGTAGGAGAAAAGGCCACTCGACATACCGTGCGATAGGGTCCGCACTTCTCGATCCAATTCTTGATCCGCATGGAAAAATTCCAATGTGAGAATTCGCCAGAGTAGTCTACTCCTGTTAGCATGCTTCATCTCCTTTTCGTCCCCAGCACCACGAAACGGGGAGTGGCACGTACGCGTGACATTGTTCTCCAATGGTTGAACCGTGATGTCATCGTCGACCTTGATATACTCGGAAGCGTTGGAATCCGTCTCGACGTCCCCCTCCCTGCTGGCATGTGCACCGCGACCACCACCACCACCGTCCTCACGCCTCTCGCGCGAACTGAGGCGTCTCCTCTCAAGCGTCTTCCCTGTCGTGCCCAGTGCTGGCGCCGGGCCATGGCCTGGTCCGCCACGTTCCTGGTCGAGCGAGTCGGCGAGCCCCTGCAGCGTCTGCGCGTCGAGGCTGATGTTGCCGACAAAGTGGACAAGCAGCCGCTCCATGTTGGAGGCGCGCTGGCGCAGCTCTGCATCACCCTGCTCTGGGGATGATGCGTGGCGGGACGCCGCCGCGCTGGGGGTCTGTCAGCTTGGTGTCTTTGCGGGCCGACATGGTCGGTGGAAGATGATGAGTATCAAGGGCGGTAGGGTAATAATGTAAGAGAGTCGAGAAGGGTAAGCTCAGGCACAGGGCATGAGCCGAGCATCAAGAGATAGGGTCAAAAGTAAGACGACAGGAAAAAAGTACGCACCGTCCAGGGCTTCCCCTTCTCGCCGAAAAGGCCGGCTTCGAAAACTCACACTGCCGCTGAAAGTGCGTGCACCGCCGACACGGCACACCGCCTTCACACTTTTCCTTCATGCGGCGACACCCATCGCATCTATGAGACGGAGACTCTGTCAGCAGCGGTTCGCAGTTTCACGCGGACGGTACCCTATCAGAAACCCAAACACCCCATCCCTGCGAGGCCCCCTCCGGAGGGGAACCGGGGGAATTTGAGGCTCCACCGGCATGGACACACCAAAGGAGGGGGGGATGAGATAGAAAAACGGAGAGAGGAGAAAAGGCGAAACGCACGCTCTCGCCGACCGCTGCCGGTTGCCATCCGCTACCCTGCGCGGCCTTGTCTTGGTCTTCTTCGGCCGGAGCCCTTCGTCATCTTGCGCCGGTGTCGGGGCGGCCGGGAGCGGTTGTTGTTGTGGCGGTGGCAGCGGTGAATGTGGGTGCCGTTGCGGCTGCTGCTGCTGCATGGCATGCGCCGACTGCGCAGCCTCCGTCGATTGCGCCGGGGGCTGCTTGGGTGAAAACATGGCAGCCCGGATATGTGTTTGTGTGTGTGTCCCCCGTGTCTCTGTGCCTATGCCTCTGTGGATTGTGATGGAGCAGAGGGGGGGCTGATGGCGCGCTCACAACCGACAACGCCGGGCCGGTCGCAGCAGGAACAGAAGCTGGTGCGGGGGACAGAGAGAGGGAGAGAGAGAGAGAGAAGATAGGCAAGGGGCCAGGAGATTTGTTCTCGAAGCAGGTTGAGCACCCGATCGACAACGCATGAGGGCGACGAACCCCCCTCTTCTTTTTTCCCAGCCTCTGATCTAGCGCTGGTTCGGCTGGTCCACCTTGGGTCACTGACGAGACGATACACCGCACTCGGGGGAGGGCGCGCAGCTTCGGAACGCGGGGAAACCCTGCTAAACAAGTAGTTCCCAGCTAACTGTTATCGCCGTCTTGAGGTGAGGATCCCTCTGATGGAACCCAGG